TAGGTTAATGGTTGGACTTGATGATCTTAAGGGTCTTTTCCAACCTAAATGATTCTATGATTATATTGTTTCTAGTTATAGTGTAATGCTAAAAGGGACTGGTTTGGATCAGGTTGTGTCAAATTACACATTGAAGGACAATAATATTAGCATTCAAGATATCAGTTTCCTATCAGATTATTAATTTGTATCTAATTAAGCCTCTTAAAACTATACTGTTTCCAGTGCTAAACTGCAAATGATTAAGAAAACCTTTTTCACAGACTTGTGCACACTACTGTTATGTATGAAAGCATTCAGACTGCTGGAATACTACTCACCTGTGTCGATGTCCTGATTTTTCTCATCATCAACATCATCATCATCATCATTGTCATTGTCATCATCATTTTGACTAGCTGCTGAAACTTGTCTCTCTTGAGAGTATTGTAAACAAGGGTTGTTGAATATTCCCTTCCATATTTTAATGCATCTCATCTGAAGTGGTTCTGAGCACTTGCACTCTCCCAGCACTGTTTTCCTCAGTTCTTTCCATGCTGACAAACACTCCTGGTTGACTGTCGGGAGCCTGCATTTTGCTGCATCCAGCTGGCATGCTCTCTGGAAGCTCTTATACACTAGAAAGCAGTAAGGGTCCTCTCGACAGCGTTGTTTTGCAATACTGCAGTCGTTCTCTAATTCTTCTGGGTGTCTTTGGTCTTTGCGGTTTCTGTGTTGCCTAAAACTCAGTTCAGTATCTGATTTTGAGGAAGTTGCCAAATATTCTGTACAAATAGGTACAAACAGAGATATAAATCAAATGGAAGATGGAACATCATCACTGATCACTGATCACTGACATCAAAACAAACTCAGGAAAAGGGTAATTGCCTTAATGCAATAAAATGAATGAAACAGCCCTAGTTTCATTCTGAGCTGTATGTAAATACATAATAATTTCAGTCTTGCAGACTAATGAATCTTCCTCATGCTTACTGTGTCCTGGTAGCTGTATAATACAGTCTACTTTAACAATTCAGCTGCTAACAGTAATATGAGAAACCCTCACTAAAATTACTGCATAAAGGGATTCATCTCATAATTTTAACCACCTACAGATTGGACATATCATGGATTATCATCTTAATTCAATGCATAATTTGTAAAGAGAGCATGGCAATTCCAGAAGATGCTTCATTCATTACCTAAAATAGTAATTTAAGATAGACAAGGAGAATTACTGCTGAAAGTATCTACCAACACCATAAGATATCATCTGTAGGTAAAACCGATACTAGTGTAACTCCATCCAAACTTTTTGCTAGACTGGTGAGAAATGCAATCTCAATCAGCAAAAAACATAAAATTACTTCATTTTGCTAGAAGCAAAAGCAACTGTTCCAATGACATCAACATCAGGTTTTAGATACCCACTCTTTGTGTTTGGGACAAGGAGTGATGGATCAGGATGCTATTATTTCCTCTGCAATAAAGCCATATATTCTACTGCTATATGATGTACGCTGATTGATGCCAGCAGGGAGTGGTGGATCAGAGCTGGGAATCAACCCTGGGGCTCGCTTTCCAGACTCTGATTCACTGGCTGATTTTACCTATCTTATGTCAGCTTTGCTAATCATTACTCCAGGAGACACTGGATCAGAAACTGCAAGCCTTTCATGCACCAAGTAATTCTCAATTATAGAAACAAGTTTTCTGAAGGGAAAAGAGTTCTCAGGATAATAAAAAATAGATTTAAAGGAGCTGGGCCCATTGATTACAATGGAATTTTAAAAAGGATGCACTTTATATATTAAGTACAGCTTCATGAAGGCAGTAACTGTGTTTCCCACATCCAGCAACCTCTCCTAGATGTAGTGAAGATGCTCCTGTAACACAATGTGACACAACTGCACAGCTGTGCACCCCCATTCACCCACACTCCCATTCACAAGGTGTCTGGATGGGGCTCCCTATACATAACATAGATCCAGTGGCACTCAAGCCCCACTTGGACAACAAGTAACCCTCAGCACACATAGTATTTTCACTTTTGCTTTCCGTTGGACTGAGCAAGAGCTTTAAAAACAATTTGAATTTCTCATGTGCCTTTTATTGGTTTTGTTTATTTTAAAGCCGATATGGCATTGCTTTCATATGCATGTTGGTGTGTGAATATCATAGAAGAGACAAAACTAATTTTCTTTTTAAATTCTCAGATTTGAGAAATATGCAAAGAAACTTGAATGCAGTTAAAATGTGGGTTACAACATTATATATTTCTTTTTGTTTTTCATAATTAAATCTTTATGTTTAGTTACCTTTATCAGTGCTGCACTGTTTCCCAAGCAAAGTTGTGATGCTACAGGGATCGTCTGTAGTGCAGACACAGTTTTTAAATTCTGGGTATTCATCAGCCAGGACCTGGATGATTCTATTACATCCAATAGCATCTTCTGCCTTGCATCTATTACCTAGAACTTACAGTTAAAATTATGTTGTTAATGCTTATGAACGCTTAAGGGATATGGTTACATAAACCAATTCAATTGAAGCACAAAAATAATATGTTTTGCCAAGAGAAGATGGTTTGAACTTAGTTTTGTTTGAAAACCTGTCATAATTTACAAATTTTAAATAATATTCAGAGTAATATAATAAAGTTGTGGGTATGATATTGCCTTCTTTTATTCAATCTGACCCATTGCCAGAACATCTGTTTCTGTTCTCATTTCCAAAGTATATAAAACCTTAAACTCATACCTTTTATTCTAGGTAGGTGAGGTACAGAGACCAAACCAAAAATGGGTGCAGGAGTCGAAGGGCACATCCTGAACTGAGACACTGAAACACTCAACTTGGTCCTGTGTAGAAATGAGGTGCCTGGTACAGGGACTGGAATTCACAGTGCAGGCTAAGGTACTGCCTTGTAACAGAGTAAGAGAGGGGATGTAGGAGGGCAGGCGCAGTCCTGTGGTAATGATGATGCTAACCCCAGGCTGAGGGATGTCATCTCTGGTTCCGATCCCTCGCTCACATGAGGATGGCATGAGCCTACAAATACCTGGCCATTTGGATATGCCCTTGGGCTGCTACTCTATAGAACAACTTCACTACCTAAGTTCGGCAATTGCAACAAATTTAAAGTAGTCCAAGAATATTCTGATTTTTATTTTTTTTGTAATAAAAATAAGAGAGAAGTCAACATAAAGAAATGCAGAAACCTTAGTTTACCCATTGTTTCAAGCCTGTTGCTTGCGTGTGCACTTGGACTCAATGACAAAGACAATCACACAGGCTGTCAGATCATGTTTTCCTTGTATGTGTAGCAAAAATAAAGAGCATGTACTAGTTTGTGGTACAAAGATAAATCAATCAACCCTCTACTTTATGGACTAATGGTTTTAAAAGTAGTTCATTACTTATTATTGCTTAAAAAAGTTACAAGTTGCTCAAGCAAGCAGTTTAATACCATTTAAGAAAATTTTATTTTGTGAAAGCCATGGTCTACTTTGTCAAAACAGGTATGCAGGTCCTCAAACCAGCACATTTCCTCTCTTTGCTTCATGGCTATTAAGTATCTTGCAATACGTAGCATAAGGAGTATGTGGCTCATAAGACTCAGCCTGGTCACAGGGCAGAATGAGGATCAGTTTTAATCTACTGAGCACATATGCTATTGTCTCTGCCCTGTCAACAGTGATGTCTGGCTTCCTGCGTTGCTGCTTCCCTGGTGACTAGCATGGAGCAGCAGAGACTGTGCGCTCTAGTAAAACTGCAAAACTAGCAGCCATGTGTCACCGCCACCATGGACAAGCTTTACTGTGATTAGAGTTTTAATGTCATTTATATGTTGTTGACACAAATAGCAGCAGAAGGCAGTCTAGATGAAGGCCTGCAAGAGGAAACAGTGCATTTCTCCTGTGCCTGAAGGAATGAGTATCAGCTATTCCAGAGTGCACATCCCCATCCTGCCACCCCAAAATCCCTTTTCAAACAGTGTCTGCATAAGGAGGGTTGGAGGGTTTGGGGATGTACTAAAATGTGCACTACTACAGGGGGATGTCGCAGTCCAGCAAGAGCTACAGTTCCCAGCCTCTGCTCCCACTTCACCTCTTATATCAGCAAAGGAGGAGGTGATGGTGCCCAGGCTTGCCTGTATCTCTCCAACCCCATTTCCAACTTGCCTTCTGCATTTTTAGAAGTAGAGCATGACCCTGACCCTTAGCCCTCACATTTCTTTCTTTTTCCAGTAGCCAAGGAGCTCAGGAGGTCTAATGAAGATCATAGACATAGGACACTCCCTGGCCATAAAGACAGGGTGGAAAGTATGCAGTGACATGGGAACTATGGAGGCCCATGGAGATGGGTGGGTGGATATTCTACTCTACATTTTATCAAGTAAGTAAGACACAATAGAAGAATTTCAGGAGACAATTTCAGGAGGACAAATTCTGGGGGTAGAAAAAGAGCAACAAAGATCAGGAGGGGCATGTGTAAAAATTAGCTAATTTACAACAGCTGAATCACAGCAGCTGACAACCATGGGGTGAGAGGTAGGTTGTGGGGCAATGAACATACAAAGGGCATAGACAGAATCAGGAAGCACATCAGATTTATGGGGTTCCCTTGCCTGGCCTCTTGAAAGCTGTGTAGAAATAACCTATTATCAGTATTGGTCTGTTTGTACACTGTGTTGATTCAGCTGTGATGAACAGCAGAAAATATGTTATTGCTGGTTTTCAATTATTGTTGCTTTACCATTAATTAGTTCAAGGTAATATATTTTAGCTTATACATATGCTTCCAAGGAATTTACAAAAAATGGTCTCTGACCTAACGCTTGGCAGCCATTATTCATAATTCAATTTATTCATATGTACATAATTTATGCACATGGGACCACAGATGGAAGCAAGACAGAGTAGAAGCTGACACTTCCAGGGTGATAATCTCTGTTCTTGTACAGTCAGCTCTTCAATCGTCTCAGTGGGAACTGTATCTGAGGACTGCAGGAAAGTACTGGGTTTTCCCCTCTAGCACTGGTGAGACCACATCTGGAGTGCTGTGTCCAGTGCTGGGCTCCTGAGGACAAGAGGGACATGGGCATACTGGAGTGGCTCCTGCAAAGTGCCACAAATGTGATTAATGGACTGGAGCATCTGTCCTACGAGGAGAGGCGGAGAGAGCTGGGATTGCTTAGCCTGGAGGAGAGAAGGCTCCGGGGTGTACCAATACACATATCGGTGTGTATAAATACCTGATGGAAGGGGGATGAATAAGGCAGGGACAGACTCCTCAGTGGCATCCAGTGACAGGACAACAGGTACAAATAGAAGTAAAGAAATTCAATTAAAGGTCAGAAAAATATTTTTTTAATATGAGGGCGGTCTAACAGTGGAAGAGATTGACCAGAGGGGTTTTGGTGTCTCCGTTATTGGAGAGATTAAAAATCCACTGGACACAGTCCTGGAAGATAGCCTGCAGTTGACCCTGCCTGAGCAGGGGGGTTGGACTAGATCTCCAGAGATCCCTTCCAACCTCAATGATCCTGTTTCTCTAAGAAAAATAAACTCTTACTTCCAAATCTAATTCTACATGTGATTCCTTAATATTGGAGCAATCGGAGATTTTTTTTTCTTTGAACCCAGATGTTTCCAGTTCTGAAAAATTAAGGAAATGTATATTCATGGATAAATCAGAGCTCAGAAATTTCTGGTTTTTTTATCAGTGAACTAAAAGAAGAAAAAAACAGCAAAATCTAAACCTTAAAATCTTCATCTGCAGTGATGAAACATTTCTGATATTTTCAAAGTAAAATCTTCTGATTCCATCAAAGTTAAATATTTCAGTCTTTTCCATCCTGATCTGGAAGGTGACTCAGACATTTTCACCCCCTTTTTTTTTTCAATGTATCTTGGCACAGAAAAGGAAGTGAAAGACGGATTGGAGTCTGAGGACTATAAACCGAAACTCTGAAAATGCTGCTGTAGTGGTAGGGGAGCGGTGATGGGCAGTTTGACAGAGAAAGGAGTGACTTCAGCAGTCATCTGGAGAGTACCCCAGACCTGCTCTGAAGAACAAAAGATGGAGGTCCTGATAATGCACACATTTAACTTGTAAGTTACAGCCTGAGGGACTGAGTTAGTAAACTCATACCACAGAGTAGGCATGTAATTATCATTTGTAGCTAGGTTTTTCATAAAGAAACTAGCAAAAGGAATATTTGCCCCATTGCCTGTTGCCTCCAACTGACATGCTCCTGCTCAGCACTGAAGGGCCTTTTCCATTCATACAGCTTATCCATGAAGTTTTTGGTCCTGCACACGTAGAGTACTTTTAGTGTCATTCTTAGTAATAATGCTACTGGTAGATTTTCTGTTGCTGTTTCTGTGGGCTCTATGAGAGGTACCATCATCTGTCTGACTGTGGGTTTACACCCTCTGGGGTCATGGCACCTAATAACCACATTTAGAATAATTTGTCCTAGACCCAATGCAATATCTGAGTGCCCTGAAATGCTGGAGAGTCCTTGCCGAAGGCTATTATCCTAAGGAAATACACAGATGCAAAACCAAACAAGCAATCACAAGAAAGAGTTTATTTGTAGAAGGTTTTTCTGACCCAGTTACAAATACCATTAATATCAGTGAATAAGCACATAGGACAATAAGTGAGGGAAATGGCATATTATGGGACAATGCAACAAATCCAAAGGGGAGATCACAGAAGTCATCATGCTGGCCCACTTCATCTGGTTGCAGGGTATGATGAAGAGCAGGCTACAGTACATATCCTGATCTTTATGTCAAGTAGTCTTGGTGCTAATGCTTTTGTGAATGATGTGAGAGAAGCAAATTCAACCAATTCTGATTTAGGGAAGAGGTTTGGTTCTAGAGTGCTCATCTCCAGGTCACTGTCTTGAGCCTGAAAGTACGGCATATTCCAATACTTTTTTTGAAACAGCAGCCATATCTTTTGAAACTGTTCCACTTCACATAAAATATTTAAAAACTCAGTAGAACATGAGCTGAAACCCAGTTCCTTTGGGGACTGTTGTAATCACTAGGTTATCATGTATTTTTCATTTACTCTGTCTGTTCTTAAAAGTATTCAGCCATTCTATGCAAAGCAGATACCTATCTGGAACAGGACACAGTAAGAGGGACTCCTCGGAGACTTTCCTGCTCTCATTATTTTGAATACTGCCTTGTGATTTGGGACACTTGGGTTCAAGTCTCTGCAACAAATCAGACAGACAGAGGCATTCAGGTAGCTCACACTGCAGGTGAATGTTCTAGCAATGGGCTACTGACCATGAAGTCAGGCAGCATCTTCTGCTGCCTGGCTTCCCACACAGACCAAACATGAGACTGGGTCCTGACATCAGGACAGACAGAGGGACATTCACTTTATCAACTCTGCTGCAGCTAAGTCTCAGAACAGATTATGGCATCGGGACATGGCTGGTTTTGTTCACATAATGTCAATATAAGGAGAAGGGAAGTTTCCATGGAGATATAGATACTGCTGATTCCCAGTGTCCGAGAACCTGCTTTATGGAATTAAGTTGCTAGAAATGGCAGTTATGTACCTACATACCCTTGGCTGCATTTATGAACAGGACCAAGGCATGGGCTAGCCTAATGGCAAGTGACTGTGTCTATACTGCTGCACTTTTGCATGGTACCTGGTCTGGACCGAGCCAGCTAGACTGTGAAGATAGTGTGGGGCTGGAGTCACTCCCAAAAGGTGGTTTTGTGCAGCCAGTGTGGGGGTAAGATGGTTTAGTTGCATGGATACATGCTGCCCCATGACAGTTGAACTCAGGGCCAGAAAATAGTTCCCGGTCCATTTTATTTGCTAGCACTGATGCAGCCTTGGCAGATCAAGGTCCTTGACATTTATCAGTCAACAAAAGTGTCATTACCAGCTTGGTGTAATGACACTACCACACTGTATTGTCACTCTTCTTCTCCCTTCCATATTCACAGCACCTGGCAAGTGAATACTCAACATTTAACAGCAAGGTCTTGGAGGGATTTAAAGAAAGAGAGAGATGGTGACTGATACTCAAGATTTGTTCAAGAAGATATTAGGCCTTCAGAGAAAGGAACATTTTCTTCTGAATGACAACATTCAGAAGGATGAGTTTCAGGTCAAATTGGTCTTCCCTCACTTAAAACATACTTTACTTGGAAATGATGCACCAAGTGTTGGATGTGCAATAAACAGAGAGAAAGACTGATTTTCCGCTTTCATTTATGTGAGAATCTGTTTAACAATTCAAGGAGGCTTAGTCACATCACAACCTGCACTTTATCATACCATCGCTCCCTGCAAGCGAATCATTCTGACATGTAGATACTATTCACTGAATGAATACAGTGTGCCTCCCTACAACACAAGTTTCTTTGCAGTGTGCTTTATTTGATTTGTTTCCTATTCTAATACAATATTTGAAAATTACTCTAAGTAACTACTACATTGTTTTGGGTATCGTGCTATATCATAGATCACAGAATCAGAGAATGGTTTGGGCTGGAAGGGACCTTAAAGATCATCTGGTTCCAACCCCCCTGCCATGGGCAGGGACACATTCCGCTAGGTCAGGTTGCTCAAAGCCTCATCCAGCCTGGCCTTGAACAATTCCAGGGAGGGGGCAGATCAACTCCTCCAAATTATGGAAAGCAAGGTTGGAACTTTTTTCCAGCTGTATGCTGGCTTTGTTTAACAGGATCCCACAAGAGCATAATTTCTGCTGAATTCAGACTGCTTGAGTTGGTTCAGACTCTGACTTTGTTCATAGTCCAGAAATTTCATTTATCACCTTATTGAAGTGACAGTGTGTCTGTTGCTGAAAATAATATTGGCTACTGTCAAGGATTTCAGAAGCTGGCTGTCTTCTGCAGTCATTTTGTCTTTGAAATCTCACTGACTTCATTCATTCAGTTTCCACAGCAATATTAGAATAAACTATGAATATGCAACCATTCAGCAATTCAAAGTACAGCTATGTACACCATAAAGAATTACCTGAAATATTGCAGACATCTTCAACAATATTCCAGACACTCTCACATCCATTTGCAGCATTTATACATTGCTCCCTCAAGTGCAAACAGTCAGTAGTCTGGGCAGTAGATATACTTGTGAAGTACATGAACAACACTGTAAAAACAGAATATAATGACTATTTAATACAACAGATATTGTACTGAGCTTTTTCATTTGCACTTAGATTATAACAATATAATTTACTGTAGTTTATCTATAGATTAAAATTTTCTACCAAGTTACTTTTTAACAGAATAAAACTTTTCCTCAGTTTCACAACTGGGAAATTAAATTTAAATTTTAAATTTTTGAAGTTGCAGTGTGGCATATTTGCATTGTTTTTACCCCAGTATTATAATGTCAGCCATAGCTATATATGACACCAGTTCATAGATATATAGAAATTACTGCAGCTCTGAGATCCATAATAAATTCTAGAAAGGAAGACAGTATAAAATTCAGATGAAACAGCATTTTATTTGGACTGCAATTTTGTCAAGCTAGAGACTACACAGGAATTCCTATGAATAGACCATGTGAAAGAGATTTGACAGCTACGCAACTGTTAGATGATAAAAGAAATTTTATTTCCTAATACAGTACTCTTCACGCTCTTTGTTTTACTTCACAAATGCATCATTTCTTGAAAGCAACCCCAGCATTTATGTCTTTATCTGCTTCCCTGAGTGCACTGAACCTAAAGGCCGTGTTAATTGCATAAAAGAGTTCTGAAACTGAAGATTGATATGGAGGCTTCAAGGTAAAGAATTTTAAATCAGCACCACCTCTGGCTTATCAGTAGAAAATTAAATTGCCTTGCTAAGAAAAGATAAATCAGTTGGGGTTTAGCTCTTTCATCAACATTCCCATGGTAACACAACCTCTAATTTGTAACCATGTGTCTTAATTTTCTGTAAAATTAAGTTTCAGACACTGATTTCAGGCCTTATCAAACTAGCTGCTGAACACCTGATGGGAGTGTTTTCCTTAGGTATTGAAGGACACAGCATCCCCCAGACTAAGTCTCCTTTTTTTCCTTATGTTCGGGCAAGTTCATATGGAATTTGAGGGATTGCCAGCACTGTTTAAATCCTTAAACGTCATCTGCAAGAGGCATGAAATATTCCCTCAGGACTTGTCCAGACCCTATCCAGAGAACTAGTCCTGGGACTGCCTCTAAAAGTTCTTTCTAATTGTGAAAGTACTTACTATTCATTCAGATGACAGAGAAAAAAAGGTTGCCATATGCCTTACAGGTGAAAATGGCTGTATATGTAAGACAACACAAAATTACAAACCCAGGAACTTTTTAAGAAAGGGTATTTTCCTGGATGACCATTTACCTATTTTGTAGGTATGAACATGACAGAAAGTTTATGCATCTGATTAGGATCTGCAGCGCAAAGGCTCTGTGCTGTCTCCCTCCTGTTAAGACAGCTTTTTAGAACCAGTGGCTGAAAATGAATAGTCAAAGTAGGACTGATTAAACAGCCAATTAGCAGCTCCTGCTCCTTCGTAAGGATTATTTCAGAGTGTGTTTATTTTGAGCGCACCAGGAAACTGTGCCTACAAAAAGGAGGAGATGCTTTTGCAAAATAAAGAGCATAATCTATGATTGAAGCTCATTCAATCTAAGAAGGGGCTTCTCTAGATCTAATAACATACTATGGATGGGTCTTTTGTTTCCTCAGCAGTACACAGGGGGCACACTGTGGCAAGCCTACCTGAAACAAACTGGCCTATATGATTTTAGAATCCAGAGCACTGTAGCTTATACAATTGCTTAAAGTGCCAGCTATTACTTTAGTCATTCACTTTAGTTATTTACTCTACTGTTTGGAGTACTCAGCGATTGTTTTCTACTTAGAAGAGTTCAAGGCATCTAAGAGTTAATTTGTAGCTAAAACTTTTAGAGGGATCCATTTTGATATGGAGATACATACATTTAGATTTCTACAGGTGTCTGTATTTTTGTACAGGTGTCTATTGATTCACTGGGTAGGTGTAGAATCCCCTGTTCTGAAGAATTTGATGTCTAAAGTGAAAAGAGGGGGGGAAAGGGACATTTTAGCACCTTCATTTTGCAGATTGGAAAGTGAGGAACGGAGGAATTACAGTGTCCCTTCCAAGACTGCAGAATTATTATCTGGCAGATAACAATGAATAACGGGAGAGCAAGGAGACCAAGCTGTGGTTTCTATCCAACTGCAAGAGCAGCAAGGTAGCTAGCTCCAAAGGAGAAAGGCAAACTATAGCTGAATATAGTTTGAATACAGTTGAAAAGTGATAAAGTACAACTTCATTCTAACAAAACCTGGGGCAGAGCTACCTACAGAATGTTTTTAACAGTGGAATATGAGTTTAGAGCAGTGGGATGTTAAAGAGAGAAGCAGCACATATACAACATGTACAGAGGGGGAAAGGAGAATAAAAGAAATTAAAATATACTTGTCTCAACATATTCTCTTCTACCAATTCCTTCCATATCAGCTTTGTTGATTTTCCCTTTTTCCCATTCAGACCCAAAGGGAAATGTCAATAGCCCTCTCTGTAGCACTGCCAGCCCCAAACGCTTTCCACTTAGCAAACAAGTGGCTGTTTATTTAGACAAGGCATCCCATTTGTGGGTCTCCTCGCCATTTCAACTTCTTATCAGTGCTCGCGCTGCTCCCTTGCCTTACCCCCGCTTCAGACACGCTATTCGGAGCCGGGCTGGAGACATTTGCGCCAAGCCGCAGGGCCTGGACGTGGCAGGCTGGTGCGAACCCCCCCCAGGTACCTGCTCGCCCCCGCCTTGGCGCTCCCCAGGAGAAGGAGCAAGGGATGGAGCTGGAAGGGGAACCCGCCGAGAGGAGAGGCCAGGGGGCGCAGGGCGAAGCGGGGGTGCTGGCGAGG